CCTTGTTGTTTCACCAGATTACTTCCAAGTCTAGGAACTGGGTCTATTCAGTTTAAATACCCTAGGTATTGAGGAAGGTTGACAAAGCCTCAAGCTAATTCTGATTGTAGAATTGATTCATATATCTTAACTCTTTTGTGGTAAACTATGCATTCAATTCTATAAAAAACTGGGGAATGGCCACAGTATGAATCTCTGTGACGGTATTTCAAAAATGATGTGCTTTGTCATCAGCATTCAGGGTAAAAAAATAAGTTGATTAAAATAAGCTATAAATGGGGGACTAGCTGGCAGTTTTGGCTGGCAAACTGCTCTGACTGACAGTTATGGAAACCCCCTCTAAGTGAAGGCTCGAATTGTCATGATAAAGTTCATCATCCAGACATCCCTTCTTTTTATGTATTTTTGAAATGGCTTTGCCATAAGTAGAGTTATTATAGAATTTGCCTTTCCTTGATCACCCTAACCCTTACTGTTTGAATGAAGTTATAGAATGAGATGATTCTTTCTTTCTTATAAATTTTTTTGGCAAAGAATAATTTATACTCTAGCTGATGTATTAATACTGAAAATAATTATGATCAACTACTATTATTCACAAAAAGCACTTGGCTCCATTTTGGAGCACTGTCATTTACCACAAGAATTGTATGTTAAACTTTGTTTCAGATGAAAGTCAGAGAAATAGTGCACAGTCTGATCCACAATCATCAAGTAGCTACAGCACAGTGCCTGGTGGAAGTGGTGAATCAGCCTCCCAGAGAAACAGGAATAGTTCATGTTATGAGAGTGCCAAGAAAGCTGCCCAACCAGTTAGTTAGAGCTCTTATGATGTTGGCCATATTATTGATAGTTCATCCTTGTTATTGAAGTCAAACTCTATTAAAATTTACTGACACAAAATACATTTAGAGAACATCTCAGTTGGTTTTTGTTTGGACTAAAACAAGACAAGGCTCTCAGCTCAACTTTTCTCAAAGTTGCCATTTGGTGACCTTAAATGATCTTGATTTTGGATATTAATTCACTTGACTGTTTAAGGCAATTTAGGAACTAAGGAGAAAGAGGGAGTGTTGTATAGAAGATGGAGCATGAGTGATATTTGATGAAAATATTTACCTCTCTTTGACTTCAGACCATAAATACTATTAAGTTATGTACACCAATGTTCCCACCCTGTTAGGAATTACACATATTTATAAACCTAGATCCACTGGTCAAAAAATCATGAGAGGTCTTTGGACCAGCCCAACTTTCATTTTTAATAAACTTCTGTATTTAATCTTAGGGTCTGCAGATTGATGTTACTACAGCCAAGATGGAAGCTCAAGCAAATATTATACCCAGTGAATCACAGGTATCTTGAATTTATTTAGAATGTCTTTGAAACCCAATGGAAAAATATCTTTAGTTAGTTTTCTTTTTTTTAAATATGTGGTCCCCAAAAGTACTTTTAGCCCCCATCAAAGGGGAATTAAGAATTAAAGAGGGCATACATATATGTGGGGGTAGGTTAGGAGATGTACAGAATAATGAAGTGCAGGGTGTGTTATTACAGAAATTGAGAAAAAATTGACACTATTTTACAGCTGGTTGAGCTTAATGTAATAAATGTTTTCTGTTGTTTGATGTTTACAGCTTTCATGACATTGAATTGGATTTATGTGGTTAATTTATTTCAAGTATTAAATTATTAATTTTACTCTTTTCAATTCAACTCTTCTCAGGTAGAAACTGAGGGAATCTCTGAAAGTGAATCAGATAAAGATCTGCAGAAGGCATTTATGTGTCGCCAAAACTTGAATTCTGATAGAGAGTGGCAGAAATGTACTGATGCCTTCTGTCAGTTAATCCAATGGTTGCTTAAACACTCTGAAAACTGCAGAATGCGGGTGTTGGGTGGATGTAAAGACTGCATCTGTTTCAAAGATATCCTGTTGAATCATGTTTTAAAGTGCACTCTTCCTTTAGGACAATGTGTAATTGCAAGGTGTGATTACATTAGGAAATACATGCATACCAATAAAACCCCCCTTCCTGGAAACAGGAAGTGGACATGGGCACTTGATCAATTGTTCTTCAGATCCATACCCCCTACAACACCCACAGCTGAAGCCAAAGAAGAGTTCTTAAGTGCTTATGAGGACGGATTAGCACAGGCACACACCCAAGCAGACAAAGTGCATGATACACATAAAGACATCGTAGTTGCTGATGAAAGCTCAGCCTCTTATGGTGAACTCATGGGAGGTGCAGATGGGTGGAGTCAGTACCATGTGGACCGGCCACCTGATGCCCGAGTTACCAGAGGCCCAGTTATCCAGGAGTCTGTCGAGCTGGAGTGCAAAGAGTATTCACCAAGTTCACCATTAAGTGCAGCTGATGTGTCAGTGAAAAGTACTTGTAAAAGCCAGATCGTGGGGAATGTTGTGTTGGAGGAAGAATGGGAGGTCATTTGGCCTTTAAACCAGGTTTGCTAATAAATCTTGTTTCACATGTCCTGATTGTATTTCAGCTCTCATTTTAGTTTTGTCAGGGGTCTCTCTGTTCTCAGTCTGTCATCTGTCTTAGAAGGCTGTCCAATTGGAACAGTCAGGGCTGGTATCTCCCTGGCTTAGATTTAGGTTCTCATAACAAACTGTGATTATCTGCTCTCTTTAGGAGAGGCTGGGTGTTCATGAAAATGGCTCTTATATTGAGAATATCCATTGGCAAGTCATTCATGCAATTGGAGGGGGCTCTTGTGGCCGTTGTTACCTTTGCCGTGATGTGTTCAAACAATCGCTAATTGCGATAAAAAAGGTAGGTAATCTTTTCAAGTAATTCAAATTGTATGCGCTATAAGTTAACAAGTCAGTTTATTTATCATTTGTTTAAAACTATAACAGTTACAGTTAAAAAATTTTGTGGAGGTGATTGGTTATCAGCTTCCAAATTTTCAGTTTTCAATACTTATAGGGATAGTGTTTGTTTCATGCTTTTAATTGGGTATAGGAATAGGACAGTTGATGCATCACCCTTGTGTCATCTTGTGACTGAATGTCATCCAATATTGTCCATAAGCCTGCACAGGATTAACAAATTGGGCTCTTGCTTCGCAGTTTGTCAATTTGATAACAGACCAAATTGGACTCCACTTAGACACTCTTATTGCGATTACAAATCTTTCAATAATTATGGTTACTCATTCATTTATTTTAAGGCTTTGTTCTCAAACATTTGTAATGAATTTTAAATGATCAATTTTGATTATATGATGATTTGTTTAGTATGTGTTATTTTTTTGACATGTAGATTCCCATCAACAAGTTTGAAAGCAATGAAATTCAAATTTGGGGAGGGCTGTCTGGACGTCACCCAAACATTTTGGAATTGTATGGTGCCATTAAATGTAGAAGGAGTGGCACAGTGATTATATTCATGGAGTATATGAGTGGTATGAACAATTCTTTTTCATATTTTGTGTATGTTTATCTTTGATTGTGTGGTTCCAAAAAATATCCATACCCCCCACGGAAGACTTTTTGATTTGCACCCCCCACCTCCCAGGATTTTCCATTCCAGGGGGTCTTTGATGACCCCCTCTCCCCCCAGGAATTGCCAAAATTTTAATCAGGGACTTCCTACCACCCTCGAAAATTCAAAGTGGTTTTTGTACTAATTAAAAGAGAAAGTGAATACTAAGTTGGTTACGTAAATGGGGTAGAACTTTATTACAACACTGAAAACATTAAGGTTAACTTTAATAAAAATATGATGCTTTTTTAAGCTTATACTTTTAGCTTCTTCGCCATCATTTTGGCAAATCATATCCATGTTGTTTTTATGTAAGATTATAAGCTTAAACATCTGGGTTGCAAAATTTAAACTGATTTAAAACGTCGACAGTTCCACGTACGTTTTCTTGCTAACTCCAATGAGAACGTTTCACTTGCTTAAACAACTTTGCAAACGATAGTAAATAAAACAGAAACTTACAAGGTCCTTTGTCTACACATTTTGTCACTTTCTTCAGGTTGATTCTTATTTAAAGACCAAAAACTTCGCTAGCACACACGTTGACTAAGTTTCGTGAACCTCGTCACGACTTACTACTAACAGTAGCTAGGTAGCCAGGCCTTCTGAAGGTCCAGCAAGAAATGGGAACAAAAGTACTCCAACAACCGTGACTGAATTTGACTCCATTCCTAGCTTTGGGAGGTTGTAGGGCTAGCTAACTCAAAGGAAAACAGAAACATTAAAGCTTATAATGTTAACTTTATCTCAATGGCCAGGAGAACTGACTTTTGTTTCAAAACAACATACGTGAGTATGTTTTTGCACTTCAGATTGATTGTATGTTGCTTTCAATGTTTTGTATGTGGTTCGTCACCCTTTGGAAAAGTAGTTTCCCAAGAAACTGGGCCCCTACCCCTTGGAAATTACTGCCCTTGAACCCCACTCCCCCTCAGACTTTCCAGTGATCTTCTGTGGGGGGTATGGATATTTTCTGGAACCACAAATTAGAAGTCTATGTTTCCTGATTTCAGTGTGTTCATTGGTAATGATAAGTTTGAAAGCCAGTGAGGAAGGGTAGGACACATACTAAGCTCACTATTGAAACAAACTTCAATTTTCTGATGGAAATTTGTGGCCGTCATTCAAAATTTGTTGTCTGGGAGATGGGTTTTCCTTGTGATTTGTGCACCAGACACTCGAGCTCCCTAATGGATTGACTCTCAGGTAAAAGATTTAACTCTGGTTACGGCATTTGTGTTCTATTCTTGGGTAAGGTAACTACTGTAACAAAAATATTCCTCCTTAGAACTGTTCATTAAGGATTGTAAATGAGTACAAGTTTGAAAACTGTTAACTGAAGGAAACTTGTAAATTGCTGGGTTGGAGAAGGAGTTGTAGCAGTACTCCTGGCACTCAAAACATCTGCTTTATAGAGACTTGTTACAGTGGTCAATTTACTGCAGCTACATTATCAATTCAGTCGATAAAACCAAAGTATCTTGTAATACCCCCCACCCACTCACCCCAACCTATGCATCACCACAGTTTCTTTTGAAACTCACTCCTCTATTTTCTTGCTCTGTACTTGTTCTATACCATAGTACAGTCATAAGTTCTTCTAACATTTCCTTGTATTGATTTTCTAAGTTGCATTTGCAACAATACAGTTGAGTGATTGTGTATCTTATTCCTTTTAGGTGGCTCTGTTGAAGAGTATGCTGGAGAAATGAACTGTAATGAGATCTGGGCACTCCATATCCTTGGAAAAGTGCTCTCTGGAGTAGAATTCATCCACTCACAGAGAATACTACATCGTGACATAAAGGGTCAGTGTATGCGTATTCTTGGAGCTACATCATGTTTGTTATCTGTAATGTGTTGATCTTCTTTCTGCTTAATTGTTTTTTTTATTTCTTTTGTGATATTGTGATTGGCATCTTTGAAGTTTCTTTCTATTTAATAGTTTAACTCCCAAGATCTGATTGTTCATTCTCCTCTTTAACTGTTACACACTTCCTTTTAAAGTGCCCCTGAGACAAAAACTGTCCATTTTTTTTTTGGCCTAAATTGTTTACATAATGTTGAATGGGGATTGCTATAATGCGAGCCTGCGAGCCTGAACCTTTTATGACGAGCCAGAGCCATTTTTTGCAAGCCATGGGAAAATAACATCCAAATCTGGACATAATGCCTTTTTATGGCCATGGTCCCAGGTGTTCCTTGTTTAAACTGGGGAATGATGAGAGTGCGACAACTTGTCTCATCATGTGCTTGCTCAGCCTCAGGTTGTAAATAACACAATTTTCGAAATGTTGTTTTGGGAAGGTCGGACAGCAAAGATTCCTGTCTTATACGCTGTTCTCACATACAAACACACACACCGTTCGTGGTAGACCCACACCAAACGATGTTGAACGTTTTTGCTTAAACCACGAAAATACTGGCAAAACTGTGACAGCCGATTAACAACAAACTATGAAGCTGAGACAAACACCTCGCTCAAAGGTGGCCCTAACAACAGCGAATTGGATAGGGATACTGACAGACGCAACATGAATAGTAATACGTATGATGCACGATCCTTGGCAATAGATAGCACTATTTATGCAATAGCGAAAATCAGACCTGAAAAAAATCATGCCTGTACAGGATTCGAACCACTGACCTCTGTGATGCTAGTGCAGCGCTCTACCAATTGAGCTGACAAGCCAACTGGAAGCAGGCCGTTAAGTTGATTTGTAATAAACCCATGATGATAAAATCAGATACAATGATTGTATGAAGTTCGTATATTTTGAACTGCGGTATTAAATACGTATGATGCACGATCCTTTGCAGTAGATAGCGCTATTTATGCAATAGCGAAAATCAGACCTGAAAAAAATCATGCCTGTACAGGATTCGAACCACTGACCTCTGTGAT